TCTTTTCATTTTTCATTTCAGCTTTTGGAAGTAAAGTCTGATGATCCAGAACCTTGTTAAAGGGGTTATGGTGAAATAGCTTATTACATGGAATCTTAACGTGGTCTGTTTTTTATTCAAACATATTTGCTCTGAATTTACATTGAGCTCTCTAGATATCATCCTCCTCGGGTCTACCCATACGGATTACCTAAGTTTGCATAAACTATATATATATATATATATATATATATATATATATATATAATGGCTGCTTGTTTCTTGGTATATTTACTACTAGGGTGCTTAGTTAATCCCTGTTGCAGATTCCTGCTCAGACACACTTGTGTTTCTCCAATGCCCACAGAAAGAAACTGTGGTTTATTCTGCAGCTATGTTGATTGGATCAAAGTTACAGTTTCTGGGAAAGGGAGACTAATTTGGCATGTTTTGAATGATGAAACACTCAGTCATAATGTCTTATGACTTCATACTAGCACACAATTGACAGTCTTCAAAACAGTTTTGGCTACCCAATTTCATTCACAAGGCTTGGGTCAACCTGTTGTTTTTATGAAATCAGGGCTCATTGGTTGACAAATAGGAATAAAAAGTGTTGAAATGGTTGAGAAAATAGACAAACAAAATGAATTAGAAATTTTTATTCTATTGGGAATATTTTCATGTCGAGAAAATTTCAAGGAATGTTTTTAAAAGAAATTGTGAATTCAAGGAATGTTTTTAAAAGAAATTGTGAATACCAGGAGTGTCTCTGCAAAAATGGTGAAATGAGTGAGTGAGGTGTATTGTCTATGCCAGTGGTTCTTAACTGGGGTCCATATCGACCCTGAGTTCCATGTAACATTACAGGGTATCTGCACAAAAAATAGCAAATTGGGTGTCCACAGTAATATTTTAGTCATCCATAGATAAATTTCACGTCAGAATGATTGTTACAACTGAAAATTGAAGTGTCTACAGTAATCTATGCTATATTAAAATGCTAAAAATAGAAAAATAACTTTAAAATTAGCAGAAAACAACATCAAGCAATGTAAGTTTTAGCATCACTTTTACTCTGCTGGATATTTTAATTGTAAAAGTTGAATAAAACTGAGAAGGATATATAAAGGAAGGATTATATATATAAAGGAAAATTATATAAAGATTTTAATTTATTATATAAAAAAATTTTATATATAAATAATAATATTAATTTTAAATATTAATAAAATGAAATTTTAATATATTAATATAAATTAATTAATATAGTAATAGACTCAACATATAAAAAATGTGCACAACAGCATCAACCATAGAAGGTGGGCAGAGAGTGTGACAGCCTCAGGCATCCATATTGAGAGGGCATCCAATCAAAGAGTGAAATAAAAATTTAGTTTCTATTTAATTTGAATAAAGTTTTTTAATTCATGTTTCATCTGTTTTTACATATTTAAAATGTCTATCATAGTCCTCCGCTACTCTGTTCATGTGACCAAGGGCAGATTTTATATATCTTCATGACCTTGACTTTTTCTTCATTGCATTGCTGCACACTCTTCAATTTAATATAGCAAGTTCATATAAATTTATAATAAACCTAATGACTTTTTAACTGTTTCAGTATTACGAACTTTGAATACTTTTTATGAACATTTTTATACTTTGTAGTAACTCTGAATTTATTTTCTTTAAATATTAAGTAGGTATGAAAGCCCAGTTAATGTTTACACTCCCTTTTACAATCAAGTGATCCCATCAAACAGATGGAGGACGAGGAGGATGAGAAACACAGACCTCTGGCCATTGTAGTCAGGGTGCTTGAATAGGTTATGTATTGAGTTACATGCACATTCATTTTTGTCTGCTGCTAGTTGGGCTTTCCCATCCATTCTATCTTCTGGCATTCCAGACCTTTATTATTTCCAGCTACCACAGACTATGGACCTGCTTACAACAGCCCTGAACTTCTGGCCTCACCACAAACCCTTATCTTCCAGCATCTCTATCTCAACCTAATTCACCTGGTTGATTGGCCTTAATGGACCTGCTTAGAATTACCTGAACTTCCAGCTACACTAGGTCCATGCTTCTGGCTTTCCTGTCAAACTAACTCACCTGGTTCAGGTAATTGCTGCATGCATATTGTCCAGACTCAAATAGCCTACTCCGTACACTTCGGTTAAAATACTACGGAAGGTTCACCATAGTACTTAACCAGCAAATGCCAGCACCGGATATTTAAAGTGAACTTTCTTCTCCTTAGCTATACAATCCAGACTTCAAATAACCTAAACTGTACACTTTGGATAAAATACTACGGAAGTTTCATCACTGGACTTAACCAGCAAACTTTCAACACTTTCGCCGAACATGTGAACTGAACTTTCAGACTGTGGACTTACATGCCTCTTTTTTATCTGCCAACTAGATGCTAGTTGGGCTTTCCTATCCATTCTTACTTCCAGCACTGTTGCCCTTTATTATTTCTGGCTACCACAAACCCTTATCTTCTGGTATACTTGGCCTTCATTACTTCTGGCCCTTACTTCAATATAACTCACCTGGTTGATCTATTTTAATGAACCTGCTTACAACAGACCTGAACTTTCGGCTACTCATTGGTCCCTACTTCTGGCATCTCTATCTGAGCCTAACTCACCTGGTTGATCAGCGTTAATGAACCAGCTTACAACAACCCTGGACTTCCGGCTACACCATGGTTCCTACTTCTGGCATCTTTCTTGTCAACCTAATTCACCTGGTTTAGGAAATTGCTGCATGTATATCGTCTAGACTCAAACAACCTACTCCGTACACTTCGATTAAAATACTACAGAAGGTTCAACATTGGAATTGCCCAGCAACTACACAATGCCAGCACTAGACATTTAAATTGAACTTTTTTCTCTTTGGTTATATTGTCCAAACTTCAAATAACCTATTCTGTACACTTTGGTTAAAATACTACAGAAGGTTCACCATTGGACTTAACCAGCAACTTTTCAACACTTTTGCCGGACATGTGAACTGAACTTTCGGACTTACATGCCAACTTAACTTATATGGACTCTAATTTGAATATTTAGTCACAGTTATATTATCTAGATCTTCTAGCCGGTCAATATTCCTCAATTTACTTAATTTGGCCTCCATTACTTGAATTATTGTTTGTTCATGTTCCTTTAATCCAAACACCTACTTTTGTACATATGTAACTAAATCTTGTATCAATTTTTAGATCCTCCTCCTGTTGTCCATTTTTGTTCCACCTGTCAGATTTTATGTTTTTTATTTTAAAATTGTTAGTGGGTCTCTTGTGACATCCATCTTTTATTTGGGGTGCACAGACCATATTATATTGCATCCCCACCAGGGGGTCCACCTCATGTCTTCCTTTCTCACATTTCTCAGTAGTAGACCCTATAGCCCACCCCACCCTCCATTTGAGTCTTAGGGACATAGAATTGAGGAATTGGCTCAGGCATCACCAAACCTCTGCATGTCATTGAATGCAGGGATTGTCTCTTGGGTCAGGACTATCAAAAAGTTTCCTCCTTGATGTATTGACTATTGTGAGATTTGAACACTATTTACATTATTCGGACTATTGTCCTCATCTTTGTCGCCATATTTATTACAACATTTCGGCCGTTGTATGCTCCGGCCTTCTTCAGGTGGTTGAAATGTCGAACTGAACCCTTTATTTCGCTTGCTGAGGTAGACTGTTCTAGTTCCATATGCCATGTTTAATGGATGTCAACTATCAGTTATCTCCTGTTAATTCCCCTCTCCAAGTTCTCCACTGCCTTAACCAGGTATTGAACTCACATTTTTTGGGTCCTGTCATTGGATCTAACCAACGCTTTTATCCACTGTGCCATGTGTCCTTGAATAAGGCCAGAGTGTACAACGGCCGAAACGTTGTAATAAATATGGCGACAAAGATGAGGACAATAGTCCGAATAATGTAAATAGTGTACATAATACCTCATCTCAGAAATATAGACAGATACTGAAAGGCCGAAACAGTGTAATAAATATGGCTACAAAGATGAGGACAATAGTCTGAATAATGTAAATAGTGTACATAATACCTCATCTCAGAAATATAGTGAGATTTGAACTTGGATCTCATGGTTGGAATGATAATGTTTTAACTACTTAGCTATGCACAGCATTCACACGCACACACACTCACACGCACACACACACACACACACACACACAAAGCACACACATAACACACACACACATACATATTCTGTACTAAATAAGTATATACTTCAGGGAAATGTTTGAATTTGACCATAACAATTTAAAAATTAAATGGAAGACAGATTTTTTTTATTTCACAAGTCCATAAGGATGAGGAGTCAGGGTGGAGTAATGGATAGCGGCTTGGATTGAGGAATCGGAGAGACCAGTTCGAATACCAGACGAATCCATTACATTCACTTATACGCTAATACCCTTGGGAAAGGTATGAATCCTCTTCTTCTCCCTGCCCTCAGCTATGGGTTAATAGCAGGACAGATTGGGTTCTAGAGTCTTGGATGACAATTGGTCTACCACAGAAAGAAATGGCAACCTACTGTGGGAAAAAATCTGCCTCGTCAGTCATGTATCGAAAGATACATGATCGCCTAAGCATGTATCATGCATATAGCACATAACTGACTGAATAAGAAATATAGTTTGGCTGATGGGTTTAAAAATATTCATCCTCTTGAACTTTGCAAGCTTCTATATCAATCTGAAGAAAACAGAAATGGTCAATTTTCAATTCGTCTTGATCAGTAATAATACTGTGTTTGCTTTTAAAAAATCAACACTTGATAATTATGTCACTTTTGATGACTCGTAAGTACAAACGTGCGGTTCTGCTACGATATTTCAACCACGCGAGAAATAACGAGATTTGTTTGTGGTTGGCGCCATTTTTAACTTTCCAACTGTTTTTTTTGGTCTTCGCTTCTGATGTTGTTTTCTTTGGAAGTTAGTTTTTCTTAGAGGTGATCATGGCGATGAGAATAAAGCTGTTGTCTATTGCTCAGAGCGAAGACTCCAAAAAACTTGTGGAATTAGTACAATTGGGTGTAAGTACAATTTGTTTATGATAACCAATATTATTCACAATGTATCATCACTCTTGTTTTTTTTTTTCATTTGTATTTTACGCGCAAATTGACAAACGTCTATATTTTAGATTTTCTTTTAGAAAATGATCAGTTATTTGTTATTTTATGATATGACGATTATATATCAGATTAGTTGTAAGTTAAGTAAGAATAGAAGATGAGTGATTTTCATTTTAATGATTTGGAAATAAATAAACATGTAATCACGTCCGAAAAATATAACGTTTTTTTCATCATTTGATGTTGGGAATGAAAATAGAGATTGTAAACAACTGGTAAATAAATCATTTCTGGGCTTTTTTTATTTCAAGAAAGAAAGAGAATATAAAGTTTAGGAAAAATAATTTCGTTATGCGTATAATTCGTAAATAAATCGAACCCTCATTTTTTTTTTTTGTTTTTTAGTTTCCACTTTAAAAGTTTTTGATATTTTTTTTTTTAATGGAAAATGAATTTCCCAAATAAATGAATATTTTCATAAATGTTTTCAAGTCTAAAGAGCAAAGCAACTACATCGATAAAATAAAAATAAAATATATAATTTTTAGCAGAACCGATTCGTTTGTTAAAAAAAAAAAAAAAGAGTTTACAGTACGGGGGGGGGGTCTTTTTATTATTCGTTGTAAAAAGAAAAGTTAATTATTCTGGAAGAATTTTCTTTGGATCGTAAAGATCCCGATTTTATCTGATCAGTTGTTGTTTATAAGTTATAGACTCAATTTAGTCATCTTAATTAGTTCTTGAAGTTTATTTCAACAGATATACCCGCTTCATAACCGTGATGACTAAAAAGTCCTTTCCTTTGTATTTATATTTCTCTACAAATGTATTGTATATAATATTGAGCTCTCATCATAGTTAACTTTATAATTAATTAAAAAAAAATCCTCCATGGAATAATAATTTCTACCACTTTACAAATTTGGTAGTTCATTCCATTTTGTTTTTAAAAAAGTAATTTTTCTTAAAAATCAAAATTTCTAGAATAAGAAGTCATAATCGGACAAAGTAGAAAAACATTTCTTAACGAATATACACACACTTTTTCTTTTGTAAAGAAAGAGCAACAAATAAATAAAAAATTATGTTTAACTTAGCTTCCCTGTTCGGAGTTTCGCAGATATCCACTCGTAGGGGCCTTGATTATAAAAAAGTTCACAAAAGAAACATTTGAAAACAAAAACTATTGCTACTGCTACAACTAGATTTGTTTTGTTAGTTAAATCAAACGAAAATAAACAAAGATTGTCGGCGAAAAGATGTCTGATTATCAAGAAAGATTATATTTGAACGTCTGGATTTTGAAAGATACTAATTTAATAATAATGACATTTAAATAAAATAAATTCATTATATTTGATTACGAAAATGTCTTATAAGCTGTCCGGGAACAGGAAAAATGCCAAGTCCGGGCCGGACATTTAAAAACATAATCGAATTTTTAAATGAATTTCATTTAATCTGGACAGAAAAAGATGCTAAATTTTAACATTTATTTTAAATTAGCTTTAGATAATTAAATTAAATATATTTTTATTTAATTTAATTTTTTTGTATGGCTACACGGTTCTTGTATTTACCAACTATGCAATCGCAATGTAAGCAATATCATCTTTTTAGTTTCTCAACTGTACAGTAATTCTTGTCATCTAATGACTTGAAAAACTTCCTTGATTATTCAATTTATTTCAATATCCTACAAGAAATATTTATTGTTTTGATATTTGACAATAAAGAATGTGTTTAATTTTTAAATTGTCATTTTCTCTCGAGCTACTTTCATGTATGTTTTGAAGAAAGGAAAATAAAAAAGGTCATAGGTGACAAAAAAAATACTTAATTTTAATTATTTTTGTACTATTCGTAAGAAAAAAGGTTGAATATTTTATTAATTTTTTAATATGAAAATTAAAAAATCTGTTTACGTCCAACGTATTGAACCGGGTTTAGGATTGAAAGTATTTTCACTTTATAAATAAAAAATAAAAATATAAGAACAGTTTTTTTTTTTTTTTTTTAAATTTGCGAGATAAAGATTTATAGGGAGAAACACCTAGATTTTTTTTAGAAAATTCTATTAAAAAAATCTATTTCTAAAAAATTTTTTAGTACTTATAAAAAAATATTTAAAAAATAATAAAGGCTTCAGATAATTTTGTTTTACATTTCAAATTTAAATATTGGAATCCAGATTAGTGAATAAAAATGTAAAATCATCGACAATGCAAATAAAATCAGACAGGAAATATTTTTCTAGAAATGATTTGTAAATAAATAAATATCCATGAAAACAAAAAGAAATGAATGAATATCATTTGGTATATTTTCCAAAATTGCTTCTTTTATTTATATCCAGGAATACACGTGCTCGAAACTTTTTAAAAAAGTGAGAAGCAAAGAGTTTTAATTTTAAAACTCCTAAAATTAAAATTTTAAATTTAAAAAAAAAATTAATTTTTTCCGATAAGAAAAAATAGAAGATGAGTTTCCATCAACAATCAAATTTTGTAACAAACAAAAAAAATCAAACAATTTGTTTCTAATTTTTACTGTTGACAAGTAGGTATTTCCTTTCAGAATATTCAAAAAGTTTTTCTTCCACAACCTCTGTGTCTGTAGAATAAATGCATTTTTAACCTCAAAAAAGAAAAGAAAAAAGCAAATTACTTTAAAAATCTTTAAAATTTAAAAAAAAAAATTCTTGTTTTTTTTCTTTTTTAATCACGAAAATTAAAATATCTATTCATAGAGAGAGAACAACAAATTTATTTAAAAAACAAAATCAACATATAAAATAATCTTTTTTTAATGAACGACTTTTTTAAAAAAGCACTTTGTTAAAATTTCAGTATTTTTCACTTTCCTTATCTTTCATTTTAAATGTAATTGTAAAATTACGTATATATATTTTTTCTTTGATTCGTATTAGTGCTTACCTTGTAATTATTTCACATATTTTGATAAATGTTCGTTTATTTTCTTCACTTGTGGTTTTTGTAGTGGAACAATTTACGCATGTTTTTTTCTTTCTACGGAAGGCCAACTGTGTAACACTAACCGTTTTCAGAAGTCTACAATACGTCCCAGATGAAGCTTTTTTGGCAGTATCGTATTGTCATTTGTTAAATTCTGAACTTCTGACTAGCATCCCCATCTTTATTTTGATCGTTATGAAAAGTCGGTACGTTCTCTGTCCTCAGTAGTTATAGTTTTTAATAATTGTTAAATAAATGAATATTAATAAACCTTTTTACTTCATCCCATCTTTATTTTCATCTTTATGAAAAATTTGTCACAACGTACGTTCTCTGTCCTTCAGGTGGTATTTCGAATACCCTTTTTTATCGCTGGGGTAATTGTTAAATAAATGTCAGTTAAGTTATCTCCTGCTAATAAAGTTCTCCCTTTTAACATGGCACGTGGAATTCATCTCGATCAAAATAAAGGGTTAGTCCGTTTTTTTTTTTTTTTTTATAGACAAACTTCATCTGTGTGTTTTTTTTGTGTTTTTTTGTGTGTGTGTGTGTGTGTGTGTGTGTGTGTGTGTGGATTTTCTTGTTCCATATTCTTGTTGGGCACAATTGAGCTCCCAACAAATCTTTTAAAATAATTTTTCTTGGGAAGGGATTGAGAGAAGAAAGAACATTCACATTCTTATCCCAAATATTAAAAAAGGCAAATACAATAGACCCAAAACTACTACATGCAGTTTGAAGGGGGGGGGCATTAAATGACCCAATGGGTTGATATACCATAAAACAAAAAATTTTAAAAGGTACAAATATTACACAAATATAAAATGTTATAACAAAGTACAATTTTCACAAAAAAGATTGTACAAAAATTTCCTTTTGTGCACCTTATTGTGAACAAGGCAAGATATCATAACAAAATTAAAGAAACTATTGGGACTAAAAAGGAGTTACAATAATAATTCTTTAGATCATGAAAAAGAAACAAACAACTTGATAAGTTGACAGGAAAACTATTGGAAAAAAAAGGAAGAAATTAGAAAAAGATGCACTCGCCTAAATAGATAAAAGAAAAAAAAGACAACTTTCACTCATCCCTCAAGGTATTTGTGGGATATTTGATGACATTTTTTTTAGTCTCAGTTTTCTTTCTTCTTGGCTATCACATGCTTCACTGGGGCCTTTATCGATATTTTAAAAAATTTCTTTATGCTTTATGTGAGCATCTTTTTTTTTCCTTCCTTTTTTTTTTATTGTTGGTAGCTGAATGGTCAGCTTAAAAGCTTTTTTTTTTTTTTTTTTGTGTGTGTGTGTAGTACTGGAGAAATGGTGAAACCTTTCAGCAATTTTACTCTTAGTGAATTTCACAAGTGAATATCTTTCTACAGCCAGCCTACCTTCTCCGCATCTTCCTTGCTGGCGTTCTTCACATCTGATTTCTAAATCCCTTCAGCCATTCATCTGCTGACCCATGCTTTTATCCAACTCTTGGAAATGGATCAAACGGTCCTCAACTTTAAATTTACGTAGAAGACATCCTCTTTTGATTGGAAAAAAATTACAAGGGGGAATATTTTCTTTTTAAATTTGGAAAAACGTATCACCAACAGTCTGCCTTGACAGTTATGTCTGGCAGTCCTTTTAAACAAAGAAACGTTTACACACAAATTTATCGATTTTTCATAAACTGTATAGTTTCCTTTTAATACACTTCTCCCAACAGTAAGTGTATAAAACAAACTCAAACTATTTATTTACTTAGACTTTTGAATTATTATTTTTAATTATTTATGCCATTAACTAATAAACAATTTTTATACCTTGCCTCAAAAATACAGATACACTCATACAAATGTAGTTTCAGGATTGGAGGCCAGTCAGAATTTTGTAGTTTAACTCCTAATTGAAATTATAGCATACTGTTAATGGACTGTAAGGATTCTATTGCAAAGAGGAACAAGGCTCTCCAAAATAATATGTACACTACAGTTCACTCCCAGAGATAGCATGAGATGAACTCGAGAGAAGTGTGTGAGGTGGGGGAATGAAAAAGAGCTCTTAGAGTCATTGAGAAAAGAATGGAATCAATTGTCAAATTTATACTTTCAGAAACATTTGCAATGAATGCTGAAAATTTGTGCTGCGGTAATGAAGGCTAAAGGAGGAAGTTTTGATTTAATGATTTTTTTTTTTCTTTTTGCCGTAACGAAAAATTATGTTTCACTCTTTTTTTTTTAACAATATAATAATTTTCTCTTATTTAAAGTACAAAACAACTACTTTTTAGACCAATTTAAAAAATTACCTCAAAGTTTTGAACTAGTGTGTGGGATATATATATATATATAATGGACTAAGTCTGATAATTATTTTAATATAATTTCTGTTTATACATTATTTTTATAAATACAAATATTTAAGTAATATTAAGAGAAATTTCATAGAAAATATGTGTCCCCCAACAGGAATCGAACCTGTATCCTACACAGAACCATCATATAGCCTGACATGCTATACTATTTAGCTACAGAGGAAGTGTCTGGTTCGCAAGGTTAAATTACTGTTTTTAAACTACAAATTTCCCATGATTTCTCTTGAATGCTCATATCTGCTTGAAGTGTATCTTAACATAAAACTTTCTCTGATATTCAGGTCGGTTAATGTTTATTATAAACATAGCATTTACTTAAATATTTGTATCTATAAAAATAATGTATAAACAGAATTATTTATATATATATATATATATATATAAAGTGAACATTGAAGTCAACACTTAGAGGCGATGGTCTGTTTCATGCTAGATGCAATCGTCAGGCCATGAGTGGTGTTATTTTTCTTGGCTTTGCTTGGAGGAAAAAATAGCTATCATTACCTTCCCAGCTGCCTCTTCCTGATATTAAGTATAAGCTTCCTCCTTAGGATAATAAAATAGACCTTTGCTATCTGTAATTCACCACTGCCCAGTATATATAAATAGTCTAGCCAAAACAACAAACATGGCCTGAAGGTTGCATTCAGACATGAGACTATTGCTGCTTGGTGTTGACCTCTGTGTCCACTTTCATATATATATATATATATATATATATATATATATCTGTGTGGAGTTTAGCCTAAGATAAGGGCAGGTAAAAATTGTAATGAGGGCACCACAACAATTTTTTTTAGAATTTACAAAATTTGTTTTTTATTTGTAAAAAGTAATATTAACATAAAAACTTTAAGAAATTGATAAAAAGTTTTAAAATCAAATATTTTTATTGACATTTAACATAGATTATGATGACTAGAATTATTAGCAATAATACATTGCAGTAAAACATTTTCAAAAAAGAAATCAAATATTGCAACATTATTAGCTTAGAATATGTTGTGGAAAGAACAAGATTGTTGTATTACAATTACTGTATAAAAATATAAAGCTTTTTTTCAGCATAAAATCAAAATAATTATTGAAAGAAAAAAATATGTATGGTAAATGTCAAATTCATAATGATCCTTTACTTTCCGACATGAATATTAATTAGTAATTTCTTAAAAATATTTTCATGACTAATTTTTGTTGTCTGGTATTCAGAAGAACTTCCTCTTTTCAGGCAATTTATCAGAATTGAAATACATTCATTTATATTATTATATGTTGAGAGATCCTGTATACAATATAAATGCAATGTCAAACTGATCCCTGTCTTTTTGACATACATGTAGTTTTCTTTCCTTTTTTAGAGGAGCAGTCTAAGTATTTTAGTTTTAAAATGAAATTTATTATTACGTAATGTCTGTGTATACATATGATGTTCATTTCATTTCCAGTAGATATAAATGTTGCAAGATTGAAATAAACTTGTAATATTTGTTGAAATTCCTTTCATTTAAGTTTTTTCTTCTATATAATAATTGTGAATATCACTGTGTTACACTTTTTCAGCTTTACTCCTAGAGACCATAGCCCAACATGTAACATTTTGGAATCAGGCCGACTCTGTGAGCAAATTAAAAACTTTCCAGGCTGGATATGGGCCTGCAATCCTGAAATTTGGGATTCCCAAGTTTTCATTTTTTTTTTTTTTTTTTTTTTTTTTTAAATGTGTATGCCGGTTGAAATACCTCTTTGGAGCCACATTGTCATTGTCTTTAGTAGGATATATAAATCTATAAACAAGTAGACATTAATTTCACTGTTTAAAAGATTACAAGTATGTCTGTTCAAACATTCATTTATTTATTTTTACATATATGCTGGATGGATGCTTGATTATAACAATCTCAAAATATTCATGTGCGTTAAATTCCTTTGAGTTATGAAAAATAATACCAAAAATTTATTAGTCATAAACCATTTAAAATCTTGAAACTAATGTTGAACATACTTAAATTCTTAAAGGATGTTTGTATAAAGATAAGTCTTTGTAGAGCATTGGTATCTGAAGAACAAATTAAATGCTTGACTAAAAGTGTGCACTTTAAGCATCTGATAAGATGATGTCATAAATTTGAAGATCTTAACAAAACTGAATTGAGAATCAGTATCATCATTTTGAATAAATAGATTAAAAAAAAATAAAAGAACAATTTGTCTTAATAGTCAGTTACTTTTTTTTTTTTTTTTTTTTTTTACTGAGGACACCCATCTGCTAGAGCAGTTAGCTAATCCCTATTGTTGAAGCTTGCTCAGTGTCTACCTGTGGTTATAATGACCATAGTCACAGTTTTGGGGTGTGGGCATAATTTAGTGTGAACAAGGCCAGTATATTCAGACCATTGGTCACAATGACTTGTGACTTTATGCTACAAATATGCATTTGTTTTCTTAAATAAAAAAACAAAAAAAAACAAATCCAAATTTGTTGTTTTCTGAAAAACAAAAAGAAACAAAACAGAAATCCAAATCTGTTGTTTCCAGAAAAACAAAACAAATCCAAATCCGTTGTTTTCGGAATAATCAATTTTTCCAATGTTTTTTGTTTTTTTTATCATTTCTATATTCTTTTCAAACCCCCTCCATTTATAAGGATGATTTTGAAACTGAATATAATTCGGACTGTAATGATCTCATTTGTTTGCAAATCTTTTGAATAATATTTCTTTTTGTTTTTCATGTATAGAAAAAAGATCCAGGTGTGGATTGGGAAGAAGTGATCAGTGGCTACAGCCGAAAAGAATTGGATCAACTTTGGGAAAGTTTGCAAAAGTTAGGAACAAGTATCATCCTTAGTCTGGACAAAGTTGATGATTTCAATGAGGAGGTAAAAAAATGCATCAAACTTTTTTTTTTTTTTTCTTTTCTTTTTGTTGCTTATTTGTATTTGTTGATTTTTTTTATTTATTTAATTTTTTTTGTGTCTTCTCCCATTTCCATCAGCTTGCCTTTTTGAGCTTTCTATCTCTCTTGTCTTCTTGAATCCTATTTTAAGTTGATTACTGAACATTTAAATTTCACACATCCCAAATAATACCGGGGTCCCATAAGTGTTGATAAATTTGTAGAGGGACCAATTTTCTGTTTTGGGGAATTTTTTTTTTTTTTTTTTTTTTTTTTAAAGCCTGTTTTCAGTAGAGATTGCTGTTTTTGCTGCATTATAATACTTAGTGAGAAAAGTGTAACAATATATAAATGTTGTTGTTATTAAAACAAGAAAATAAAAGGAAAATGAAAAATCATACTTGCTGGACTATCCACCGAATGGATAAGTTGCTTCAGCTTGATAGGGTTTCATACCTCATACTTCTGCCCTTAAACTTGATGAGTTTTTGAGACAAACCTTGCAAAGAATTCTACAATCTTAAATAAGAATTAAGTGAAAATGGCAAAACCTACAGAAAAGTAGCACCACAAAGTCATCTAGAGACAAAAAGCTACATTATTGTTCGGTTGCTTTATTGAAATTATTAAATAATTTTTTTTTTTTTTTTTTTTTTGGTGGGAGGTCTAATTGCCCCCTCCCCATCTCTGTCACCACGTGTAATAATGAAAAAGAAAGGGTAAAACAAAAAGACAAAATTTTTCATTGTGCTGGTCACCAAATACATACACACTTACAATCTCCTACGCTTTCATTCACCTCACCCATCTTATCATAAGCATTTTAACAGTAACTTTGAGTCTCTCTCAAGCCTTGTATTGTGTAAAAATTAGTATTGTAATACTGCTTATGACCTATATCTAACCTGTCATAGCCTTCTGCAACTGGTTATGAATCCCTGGAACATTAGAAGTCTCACTAATTACTGATCTTGTACCAAACTACCATCTCCAGCCCACTTGTTCATTAGCAGTCTTCTCACCTTGGGATTGAGGAGCCACACATGTCACAATGGCTATGTAGTTCAATGTTGTGCTTACCTGCAGAAAACCTTGGTGTGACACATCCTGTGGGCTTCTGGTATTTCTGATGTGGGCTGAAAATAAAGTCTAAGACTTGGATGATGTCACACTAATTAAACCAGTTTATTAACGTAGCTGATGGGAAGAGAACTAATAGTATCGCATATGGAGACCTGAAGTAGTGGTAGAATGGAGATGCTATACTGCAGGAAATTTTGCTGGAGTTGCCCTTGCATGTTAACTTGATTGATGAGTTGTATTTATTTGTTCAAGAGACGGGATTTTAAGACTGAGTTTTGAAGTAGCAAGATGGAAACCCAAAATAGAATTGGTTTCTCACTCGACACTGATGATTTATGCATTTTCAATAAAATCTGATGAAATCCAAACAAGATTCTCATTGTTCAAAAACCACATGACGTCCTCATTGATTAGGGTGCCAGCCAAATTGCAGGTTGGCCCAAACTCAAAGAAACAAAGCAAACTGGGGAATAGTACTAACATTTTAGTGCCCTTTTTGCGTTTTTTTTTTTTTTTTTTTTCCTCATATTCTCTAACACTCAGTACCCCACTCTGAATCTTAGTGGCTTTATTGCCTTGCTTGAAGTGAAATAATTTAATAAAAAAAAAAAAGAAAAAAGAATTCCAAAATCTAAAGAAGATTCCTGTTGTCCAGAAAACACATGGCCTCCTTGTTGATTAAGGTGCCAACCAAATTCCAGGCCTCAAATGACCTTAAATTTACTAAGAATCAAAGCAAACTTTGGAATAGTATTAAATCTAAATGCATCTGAATTCTGTTCAGGGATTTTGATGAAAAATAAATGAATTCTGTTCAGGGATTTGATGAAAATCTAAATGCATCTGAATTCTGTTCAGGGATTTGATGAAAAATCTAAATGCATCTGAATTCTGTTCAGGGATTTGATGAAAAATCTAAATGCATCTGAATTCTGTTCAGGGATTTGATGAAAAATCTAAATGCATCTGAATTCTGTTCAGGGATTTGATGAAAAATCTAAATGCATCTGAATTCTGTTCAGGATTTGATGAAAATCTAAAAATTCTGTTCAATTTGATGAAAATCATCTGAATTCTGTTCAGGGATTTGATGAAAAATCTAAATGCATCTGAATTCTGTTCAGGGATTTGATGAAAAAACACAAACTGGAAATGTAGGGAGAACTGGGTAATGTTTAGCGATAATGTATTTTACTTTATTCGTCTAGCTTACACTTGGAGTTCAATACCTAATGATACCAGCCTCAGAATGATTTTATGTGCTTTAATATTTTTATTCTTTTTCTTCACTCATTATAATCTAATCAATATATCACTTAGCTACAATTATTTTTTCATTATTTCAATTGTCCTCTTCTTGTCTTAAATCTCCCATTATGCAGTTTTATTTTAATTTTAAGAAAGGTAAAAATGTAACTCTTGCATGAAGAAGATTGTACAGTTTATAGATTATGATGGACTTATGGCCATATCACATTGAAACACCAGTTTTTGTATGATCACTGAAGTTAAGCAATATTGAATCTAGTCAGTGCTAAGGTGGGTAACTGTTTGGGAATGCCAGGTGCTGGAAGCATGGGTGCGCAAGTGGTGTAATACATAACTTCTTAGAATTGGAAATCTGAGAGTCAAGCTTCAATTCCAGATGGGTTTGTTATATTCACTTATGTACAAATACTCTTGGGAAGGGTGCAGATCCACCTCTTCTCCCTCCCACTGTAGGTTAATTAGTAGGGCATGTAACAGTAAATCATTATTAGCTCCAAAAAATTCTTAAAATCTAAAAATATTTTCTGGCTTGAAATAACCTACAAAAGGTTAATAAGCTGTAAAAAAAACAATAAATCTATAGATAAAATTTATATGATTGAGTAAGTTAAAAAGATTTTTTTTTTTTTTTTTTTTTTTTTTGCTGGGGATTTCTTGCTGAATGTTTAACAGCTGGGGTTGACAGCAATCAAATTAAGACCTTACTTGAGAATGATCATCCATTAATGACACAAGAGGTAGCCAACATATTCCAAACTGCCAATTCAAGTGTTGAAAGTCATTGAAAGTAGATCAGTGGTTTTTTTATGACCTGTGTCTCTGTGCCTGATTTGCTACTTGACCATAGCAAAAATGTTGAGTACTTAAACATTTTTTTTTTTTTTTTTTTTTTTTTTTTTTTTGTCAACAAATTGTGAGGGCTCTTAAGAAGTAGATGCTTTGACAATAATGCTGAAAGATCATAAGTGGTGGTGGTGGGGGGTTACAAAATGCACCCTCCACCTTATGTACAGTCATTATCCCCCAAAAATTTGTTGTGCATGTGCCGTTGGATTGGCAAGGGAAATTTTTAAACTTTAATCATTCTGGGGAAGCAAATGATTTATTTGAACAATTTCTGCTCCGAAGCAGACCAATTGAAGGCAACAATTGATGAGAAATCTCTAAAATTCACAAAGAGAAAGGATACTACTACAATTCACATTTCTCTACCAAGCTGGCTGGCAGGTTTTGGTTCATCAGTTATATTCACTTGATAGTGTGCTTCTAGATTACAGGGCTTATGGCCATATCACATTGAAAAACCTGTTCCCGTATGATCAACAAAGTTTAACAACATTGAGCCTAGTCAGTACCTAAGTGGATGACCGCTTGGGAATACCAGGTGCTGTAAGCTTGGATGTGTGGGTGGTGTAATGGATAATGGCTTGGAAATGTTAACCAGTGCTGAATTCCAATTCCAGTTAAGTTCATTACATTCACTGACACGTAAATACCCTCGGGAAAGGTATGAATTTTCCTATTCCCCCAGCTATGGGTTAATTAGTAAAACTTGTATCACAAAAACCATTATCTCAAAATAAATAAATGTGTGTACAAAATATTTAGATTTCAGCATTAAATAACCCATAGATGTTGATATACTGCTAAACAAGAACAACCAATCAAGCCATTTAGATTTTGGCATTAAATAACCCATAGAGGGTGTTAAACAACCAACCAAAATAAAATAATTGTTCTGAATTGGAAATCAGAATGCTGAGTTCCAATTCCAGGTGAGTTTGTTATATTCACTTACACAACAGTACCCTTGGTGAAATGTTTTAATCCACCTATTCTCTCCCTAGCTATAAGTTAATTAGTAGGACTTATATCAGTAAATCCTTATTATTTGTAAAAGATCGGCAAAAACCTGCATAAGTTGTAAAAAAAGAAAAAAAAAAAAAATCACTATTTAGTTTATTAAAGATTTTTTATTGAATTACCTTTAAAAAAATATTCAGTTGCCTGAAGATTATGAGAAAGATTTAGTTTTAGGAGGATGGAATTATGAAGTTGGCTGGAAGATGGCAGAAGAGAAAACAAGATAGTAAATACGCTGTTCAATAAAGTTAATGTTGGAAATGTTTTCTTTTATCTTTTAATTAAAACCAGTAAACATTCTTTTATTAACCAAGGTTATGGATATGAAGCATTCTGTTTAGGAAAATAGATATATCTCTTAGTATGTCATGATTTGGCTTAGGCTGCATTATCTGATTCATAAATAAGGTCTCCAATCCTATAAAACAAGTTTTAGACCAGATCGAATAATGAAACTGGTATCAAAATGAAATCAATTTATTTCTCTTAAAAATGACATGGGCTGATTGATAAGTAAGGTCTCCAATCCTATAGAATAATGAAACTAGTATCAAAATGAAGTCAATTTATTTCTCTTCAAAATGACATGGACTGATTGATAAGTAAGGTCTTCAACCCTATAAAACAAGTTTTAGACCAGATAGAATAATGAAACTAGTATCAAAATGAAGTCAATTTATTTCTCTTCAAAATGACATGGACTGATTGATAAGTAAGGTCTCCAATCCTATAAAACAAGTTTTAGACCAGATAGAATAATGAAACTGGTATCAAAACGAAGTCAATTTATTTCTCTTCAAAATGACATGGACTGATTGATAAGTAAGGTCTTCAACCCTATAAAACAAGTTTTAGACCAGATAGAATAATGAAACTGGTATCAAAATGAAGTCAATTTCTCTCCAAATTTTTCAGGATGTGCGGGTGGTGTAATGGCTAATGACTTGGAATTGTTAATTGGAGAGCAGAGATCCAATTCCAGTCAAATTTGTTATATTCACTTATTTGCAAATACCCTGTGGGTTTCATTAGTAAGAATTGTATCATTAAATCATTATTCTTTCCAAACAAAAATTCTGACAATCTAAAAACACTTTCAGGCTTTAAATAACCTTCAAAGAAAAACTTGAAAACAATTCAATCAAAAAAAGAAAATAATATTCGAGGTTTGTTTGTTTCATAAGTTATGTAATGTGGGCAGGGGATGGCATCTCATCCTCAAATAATCTTTTTTATGCCTGCTTCACCCAATGGATCCTTTAGACCAGTTCTGCTTTTGTTCCTCAAAGACAACATTGTTTAGTAATGCTCTGCCTTCAGAGGCCCTTGGGCCTTGTATTTAAATTTTTAAAAAATCATATAAAATCAATATTTACACCAGATAGAATAATGAAACTGGTATCAAAATAGTCAATTTATTTCTCTTCAAATTTACAAGTTTCTTTTTTATCATTATTAAGTGCTACACATTGTTTCAAACATTCTATCCACATTTTCATTCCATCCATTCTGGTTTATTTATATTTCACATATCAACTTTAATAGCAGATAAAAAATGCTGACTGTTGTGGAACAACCACATGTTTAGTGATACCAAATCTCTGGGTTGGTATGGCAGGTGTACAACAATTGTGAATGTCACAGTTTTTGCCTTTTCCTGATTATTTGGTGGCTTTTGCAACAACGATGATCAGGGTTTCATATGGACCTTAAAAATGTCACTATATAAGTGGCAATTTCAAATTTTCTCAGGGACGAATTTGTTCTTCTGAATTCATTTAATCTAGAAATGGAACATTGATGCATGTTAATTTTATCTTTTAGAGCTGAACTACTTACCCTTATGTTTTCGCATTATTATGTACATTTCGACTTTGGATAGGGGGTTGGTTTCAGGGTTTGCCATACTAATGTTTTCTTTCTGATTCCTTTTATTATCAGACCTGTTTTTTTTCTTTCTTAGAAGAATAGATTATTGTATTTTTCTGTATTTCAAGGAGAGATTTTTATGTGTGTGATATATGGTACTTATTGGAAAGACTCGATGTCAGTGATAGAGCTAACATATTTAGTTGGATATATGAGTTTGTGACCCTGGGTTTCATGCTGCTTGTGATCATCAGACAAACTGATTAATTTTTAAAATCTTGGGCTTATATATGGTTGCATATGTCAGTGTTTTTATGGTAGTGGGAAGAAAAATTGTCGTCGGAATGCCGCTCATATGTATGCAGTTATACATACATGCAAGTTTAATCTTTGTAGCTCACATAAAACATATGAACAGTGTGGGACTGGGTGTATTTGTGCATTCATGTGTCATTGCATACAGACGTACACAATTGGTTGCTGTTTATGTAAGCTACAATGTGTAAACATGTGTATATATATCTGCGTATATATGAGTGGTATTCTGATGATAATTTTTCCTCCCACTATCATAAAAATCACAGATATATGCAACCATATATAAACTTAAAATTTAAAAAATTAACCAGTTTGTCTGATGATCGTAGAGTAGCATGAAACCCAGGGTCACAAACTCACATCGATCCAACTATATATATATATATATATATATATGTTTATATTAGTTTCAAAATTATATATATAATTTTGAACTAATATATACATAGAGAAATCTAAATGAAATAATAATAAGAACGAAAGAATATTAATCTACAACCCAGTGTGTCTGAAGATTTTAATTTTTTAATATTTTTTATTGTTCAAAATATATATATATATATATATATATATAAAACTAATTAAAAAAAAAAATTATTCTTACAATCCCCAAAATGTTCAGCTTTAAATGACCCACAAAAGTGTTTATTATCCGTAAAAACAATATTGATAATCATCATCAGTCCCTCAGCTGTTTCAGTTGTCAGGGCAAGGGCACCTGATTGTGGGAGGGACAGATAGCCTATTCTAGGTTGATCTGTTGGTGGTGGCTCTCAGGAGTCCCAGTCTTGTATTGTCTGACCAGCTCTTGTGCCTTCTACAGTGCCTTGCATGATGGTCTTGTAGAGGTTGTCATACTGTGTGACCTGGTCAAACCGTGCCATTTTCTGATGCTTATCAATGACAAGGAAAATTTCCTGTCAGCCCATGAGACTTTCAATTTTGTTCCGTACATAGGCATTGGTTTTATGCTCCCAGTAGGAGATTTCTCAGGTATTTGTTCTCTAACATCTGGATTCTTTTACCCTTTTTTTTTTTTTTTAAGCATTGTGCCCCAAGCAAGGCGTGAAGCCACTAGGATGCAGGGGGTTGCAGAAGATTTGGAGCGAGAGCAGATAAGAGTGATAGGAGAAAGGAAGAGGAGAAGGATAGTGGGTAGATCAAGGTAATTGGAGATGTCGATTGACATTACATTTGAATAGTTGGAGATTATAGCTTTCAGGAAACAGTAATTGGGGAGGGTGTTCCACTGGCGAGAGAGGTGCGGTATGAAGCTATTGGAGTAGAAGAGATGGCTACATTTGAAGGTTTCTACGGTGTAAGGGGTGAGAGCGGGATGCCAGCCTCATAGGGTGCTTGAATTCATGGAGTCTGGGAACCAGAGAGAGCAGCTCATCAGAGCAGTTACCATGGAAGTAGAAAAGACAGAGAGAGACGGGCGCTGCCTGTGAGAGAGTGACTGCAAACAAGACGCTAGATCAGGGCCAATTAGATTACATATCCTTCTCTGGATCTTGTCAAGAACTCCGAGGTAAGCAGAAGGTGCTCCAGCCCATATATGGCAGCAATACTCCATGCAAGGGCGAATGGTTGTTTTGTATATTTGAAGTATCAATTCAGGGGAGAAAAATTTCCTGGTGCGGCACAGAGAGCCAACTTTCCTCGACCTGCTTCATCTAGGAACATGCAAGTCTCACATCTGCAGCGGAGGATGGAGATGACTAGAAAATCCATCAGTCAATATTAAATATCGAACACGCTGCCATGTAAAGCACCATGGGTCATTCCATGTCAATTCAACCAAAAAAATAGAAAAATGGAACTTCCCACTCAAAAAAAAAAAATTAGATTTTGTTCATTTTGATATATGTTGTAGGTCCTTATAGTCATTAGAAAATCCTGTAAGTTTTAACTTAAAATTCCTAACCATTCTCAAGATATCACGAGTTGAAATTTTGCTGAATTAGCATTTTCTGTCAATGGACATTTCCATTTTCAAACTCAACGATCTCACAAAAACCTTTATCTTCTGATCCACTGGCCAAAATTTAATGAAATTTGATGCCCTTATAGTCAAGGAATCTAAATATCCCTTTGGAATTTTACAGGGAGTAACCAAAATGTAGATATTAGCAGTTTTCTGGTGAAAAAATGAAAATGTTTAGGCATCTAACCACATGGAAAAATTGAGAAATAACATCTTCAGCCTCTGAAAGGTGGCACAATATTTGAAAACTATGATATTTTGGGAATAAATTCCAATAAGTTTCATTAACTGTTTCTCAAAGCTACCAATTCTAGACCTCTTAATAGTTTTTCTCAAAAATTTTGAACATTCTAATTT